AATTCAGCGGGAAATCACTGGTTTTACGGTTATTCTGTCCACACCATTCACACGACCCTGTTGGGTAATAAATAAATGCTTTTTAAACTTGAACGCCCTATTCATTATTCCAATGATGTTGCCATTTTTGTAACATTTAGATCTACCCAGCGTGCTGAACGTTTACGTTCGCGGTGGTTTATCGATTAGTCGGGTCTGTCAGACTGAACTGTCGATGAGGGAAAACTCGATGCCGATGCGGAAGTGGGTCTGTCGCTGATCATTTGGATAAATGCACAAGAGAAAACAACCAAATGAAAATGTAAGTAGGCTAAATCGCGCAGCGCTCGTGTCTGTTTTGCACGTTGAACCAGGCTTTTGGTTTTCGCATGTGTTGCACTTTGAGCATCCCGTGTGGATGGTTTGTTGTGGTTTGAACGGGGCTGTGTTTTAGATGTCAAGCTGCTGTCACAGGAACACGGAGCCATCGCAGTCCACACAGGAGTCCAGGCTGATGCTAGCTGGCTTTATCTGAGCTGTGGCTTAGTGGTTAAACGCCTGCGCTGGAAAGGTTGCAGGTTCGACAGGTTGTTCCTGTGAGCTATTTACAGCAGCAGCAGCCGCCCAAACCACAACAGGTCACCGGTTTCTTCGTTAAACAGCATTACAAAATGTCCACCACATCTCTGTAGGTAATTTTATGCAAATACAATTCTGCTCATAGAATTGTATACAATTTATACACATACCCCTTGCAGATTTTTTCTCTCTGGGAAACAACAATCTTACAATGGCAGTATATAATTGAAAAAAAAAAATGTTTAAACAAAATAATAAAAATGTACATATCATCGTCCTGTTTAAAAGTGTACACCCCCGGCTTTTAATGCACCTTTTGTATTAGTTGTGTATGAGTCCCTCAGTTGTCCTCAATGTGAAAGGATGGATCTCAAAATCATAGTTACTGTCGAAAATGGGTTAAATATGCAGAGGATGCTGGAAAACTAAAGAATGTGCCGGAGCTGGAATATTTTCTGAAGAACAGTTGGACCATCAGAATAAATAAAAAA